CAGTCCCCTACCCAAAATTATTAAATTGGTTAGAATCAGAGAAACAGAGAATTTAGGAAAATGATTATACAAAAAAACACTATTTTACAACTTTCCTCTTAACATCAGAGCCCAATGCAATTTCAGGGCCACAAACCCTGCTCTGGATTGTGACCTCCTGTGCTTGAAACGAGATGCAGATTCTCTTTGCTTTGATGATCTGGATGTTTATGCGCACCTAATATTACAATTCATCAACAGAGTTGCAACAGCTTGGTCACAGAGCCACCCTTACCCTAGAGGTAAGATCGTTGCAGGCGAATTTTCGGCCAGCATGCCAGCAGCCTTCTCTGGTCTGGGAAGATTAGTGAAAGCATCATTGACGATTGATGCAGTTTTGATAAACTCCAGGGCCATGTTGCCCCCCCCCTGGAGTTCTGTTGCATCATTGTATCATCATAGAAATCTTGGTCAGATTAGCCTTGTGCGCACAACGAGGAAGATGTGTGTGAATGGCTGTAAAGTGTTCAAGGTGGTGTGCGTGCTTCAACATCTGCCAATTTCGATAATCAAACATTGCATTTTGATTTGTTTCTTTTTCAACAGTCAATGCTGCCTTGACATTTTGTAATTATAATAATATTAATATTATTATTGATTACGAAAAGCAAAATATTATTATTATCAATGAAAATCTTGTAATTACCCAGCAAGATCTGTTCCGCGTTTTGATTTCCAATTAAAATATTTATAAGCTAAAATAAAAACATCAATACAAATAAAAAAGAGTACCTCTGGTTAGTTATTAACACGTTTCTTTAGGAGACCCAAGCCAAACCAAACAACAACACTCACGTTTTGTCACCTTGGACTCTGTCAAAAAATAAATTGTTTTTCCAAGAAAAAAAAAATCAATTCGAGTCTGTCCTACCAAAAAAAAAACCAATAGGATAAAGAATTAGCATGTGCGCATCGATCAATTAAACAAACTTCTTAAAAATGTCTTTTCAAAAGAAAAAAAAACAGTAAAGACGATATCAAAGGTTCTTTCAGGTAAGTGTTTTAAGCATGGTGGTGGTGGCTATCGCCCACCACTTGTCATCACTCTAGTTAGCATTCAAAAATAAATAAATAAATTTTTTTCATTTAGACTTTTATCTCGGCAAAAAAAAAATTTGCCATTAGAACTTCTAATGGAAATATTAAAATACATTAGAAATGATTATAATACTCTATATTCATGCACCCTTGTCAACAAACAATGGCACAGTGTCAGTATTCAAATATTATGGAGAAATCCATTTTATTCTTGTGAAAGCATTAAAATATTAATTAATTGCTTATTGAAAGAAGACAAGGATTCATTAACTGGAATTAAATTTAAACTATTGGAGAAATCACCATTATACAACTATGCTAGATTTTGTACTATAATTTCCACCGTTTACAGTCTTTTAGGAGAAGTTTATTTATGAAATAAATTAATAAACTTTATTTTAGATCATTCAGCAGGTATTAGAAGGCTTAGTACTAGTTTTTTAGATCAGAATGTTTTAATTAATCATCATAGATTTGATGATTGTTTTCGAAGCCTTTATAGATTGCATTGGGATGGTCCTTATAATGGTGAATTTTTGATAAATTAGCAAATGTTTGTAAAAATATTCAATCATTAAGAATACATTATGCTAAAGATCACATGAATTCTCACAGCTAATTAAAACACAGAATCAAATTAAATATTTACAAATTGAATCAGAAGAAACCCCAATTTTACCAGTTGAATTAAAAATGCAATATTAACACACTCACAATCAATAATTGTTTATGGATCTTCTTGCAAAGGAAATCATTTAGATGATTCATTATTTTCAACTTTTAAAAATTTAAAAACTTTAGAGTTAAGTTGTTCTTGTGGCAAATTAAAAAGTTGGAAAAATATTTCATTTCCAAGTATTGAAGCTGTGAAATTATTATTTTATGATAAACAATTTCTTGACTTGTCTGAATTTATTAATATAAATGGAAAAAATCTTAAAAATCTGGATGTTCATAATTATAATGATTTAGGTTATGATCATAAATCTTTAAGAAAGCTATTTCAATCAATTCCACCATCTTGCAAAAATTTAGAACATTTATCTATACAATATAACAATAAATTAGACCAGGAATTAATGGAAGTGCTTGATAATTGTATTAAATTAAAAAGTGTTAGATTTTATAATCATCGGTATGCTGAAATAGATTGCAAAAAAATATTAACAGTATTAAATGAAACATTACCAAAAAAGTTAAAATTAATAACTTTTCATGAGAGATATGGTGTTAATAGTCATATTATATCAAAGTATTGGAAAGGATTCCAACCTTTGGTGGTGGAATTTGATAATTAAAAAATTAATAAAAATATTTGAAATTATTTCATTTTATAAATGTTTGATTTAAATTTATTATTATTTATTTTTACTTTATTATAATATATTATTTCATGCTATATTATATTGTGTAATGATATCATTACTGTTATTGATGGCAAACATCAATTGGGTGATAAAGAACAACTGGCTGCTGACATTTGACATTACTTGATGACCTCTAATGTTGCAGAATGCCCCCACATGACTTACAATTATTAAAATGATATCATTGACACGTAGTAGAAGGCATTGATGGATAATATAACAATTTAACACAAATAAGAATAAATTTTTATTAGTTTTTATTATATTTACATAAATTGTTTTTTTTTCAAATTTATTATTTGATTGATTTATACTATGTAAAACCAAACCACACAAACCAATACAAATACTTGATCATTCTTTTTTCAAAAATCTCTTGTTACTAGATTTTTTTGAATATAAACATTTTCAGTTTGATCTTCAAATTGTGAAGCATATCTTGCTGCAACAAAAAAGAAATCCCTTAATCTGAAAAATTTTTTTTATTAAAAAAAAAAAAAAAAGCTATAACATTGTCTATAAATAATAATAATAATAATAATAATAAATTGTGATATGTCACGTGATTCTAAAGGTGATTCTGTTTCTTCAAATGATTAACTTTCCTATAATCCACATTGTCCATTTCATACAACTTATTAATATTGAAATAGTTATTTGAGAATGGAGTGCTAACAATCTGGTATATTTATTAGGTAAATGTATTTCATTTATTCTAATAACATAATTGCAAAAAAGCAAGTAAAATTCAACCATATTGTGAATTTTAAAAGCAAATTACTCAACAGCTAATTGCCAGATTCAGTTAGAAAATGATTTAAAATGATTTAAAAAAGTAAAGTTTTATTTGAAAATTTATTTGAGTCAAGTTGATGAATTTTTTAGTAATATTATAAAAAGTTTTTTGACAACAGTAATTTTCTGGTTTTTTTGCAACACACTGTATATTGTTTATGATACAGACAAGAATGTTATTTCTAAATCATCAAAAATGTGATTATAAATAATGACGAAAATGATGAAAATGATAAAATAATTTGTATGGTTGGCTTGGTCTAAAGACCTCCTATTGCTGTGCCATGCAGCCAAATTTCAAAATAGCAATTTTGTAATTCATTCAAAATTGTAATAAAATTTTTCAAAAAATAGGACTTCACGTGATTTTAGTTTTCTTACTGCCAAATTTAGATACGATAGTCAA